TGGCCCCCTGAACCGGGCTTTAATATTCCTCCAGAAAGTTAGTGGTTCTTTGGCACTGTATATGATTACACAACCCTTGGGTGGTCCTGAGCAGCATCCTGGCTGTCTATGGTCCCTTATTCTCTGTTTCTTCACTTCTCATAACACTCTCTGCTTTTGTCATACACACTTTCAGACTGATACTGCTGTTCTGTGTTCTGCTCCTCGTGGGAGGAGCATCCTCTGCTCAGAGGCGGAGATTTCTCACAACTTCTTCTTGTGGGATTGCCGGATGTAGGTCTGGAAGTAGAAGTTGAGGAAAAGGATGATGAGGGAAATGATATACGCAAAGACGGCTCCGTTGAACCCATCGGGAAAGGGACAGTCTGTGAAGAGGTTGTAGCCGGAGTGGAAAGCAATTGCCACAAACTGGGTCTGCAGAGATAAAAACACACATTCAAAAACACAGTCCCACCTATGAGGAACAATCACAGCTCTGCACCAATGAAACTCAGTGCTGTTTGTGACATATAATTCATTTTCAGTTATTATTCCATTTTAGACTTATTGTATCATTTAAGTAAAGTTATTTTTTATAGAACTTTTACATGATCACATTCTTGTTACTCTGTGTTTTCTAACAGTTACTTCATGTATTCTTCATTCAATTGTAGAGTCTCCTCTAGTGGCAATTTGGGGTAAGCATACCTGGCGGTTAGAGAGAGAAGCTTTTTGGTCTTGTTTGCTTTGTTGCCCCTCCGTAAAGTGATCCGTGGTGAATCACTTTTCTGGAAGTTGACAGGTGGCCAGGAGGTGATAGGATGCCTCCTCACTGCCTTTTTTTTTTTTAAAATCTGAAAAGCACGCACCACAGCCGCACTACGGTTATAGTGTGGCCCCATTCACTTAAATGAGTCGCATTTTGGTGGAGGTACTGCTTGCTGAACGGAATATGGTCCTCACAGCATCATGTGTACCGATTTGTGAACAATGCCTAAAGTAGTCACTGAGTAACACTACAGCAGAGCCTGTATATCTAAGGAGCAAACATGGCTGTCTTCAACGTACATACAGTATGTATCAACTATACATTGCCATTTATAACTCCGCCCCTAATGACATCACCAATCTTGTCTCCAAATATCACCCAAACCATCCTCTCCGCTCCTTGCATGACCTCCTGATCTCTAGCTCCCTTGTCTCCTCCTCCCATGCTCGTCTCCAGGACTTCTCCAGAGCTTCCCCATCCTCTGGAATTCTCTAACCCAATTTATCCCATTATCGCCTACTCTGCCCACTTTTAGGCGATCTCTGAAAACCTCTCTCTTCAGGGAAGCCTATCCTGCCTTCAGCTAATAATGGAATCTTCTATTCCTCCTACCAGTCCATCCCCCACAGTTATTACTTTTTGTGCCACTAGCCCCTCCTCCTAGATTGTAAGCTCCCAGGATCAGGGCCCTCCTTTCCCTCTTGTATTGAACTGTATTGTTGCTGTATTGTCTCCTTTTATATAGTAAAGCGCTGAGCAAACTGTTGGCACCATAAATCCTGTATAATAATAATAATAATAATATACATGCCCCATGGTGAGGATATGTTCTTAAACACCCCTTCCCCCACAATTTCAGGGTCAGCAGCCCACACTTTGTGCGACTGTCGGCTCTCAATCCCACTTATTGGCTGGTGTTCCAGCTGACAATGGGGAACCAATCTGAATGTTAACTAGAGTACATCAGCTATGGGGCTTGGTAAGTATAAAATCCTTGGGGTGCTGGGCGCTGCATACATTGGAATTCTGCCTTGATTGTGCAAAGTGGCATTGTCTTCTTAACTGACAAAATGGCAGTTAGTAAAGCATGCACAGCCCAAATGGCAACTTTTTGGTTAAATTGGGTTGAATGAAAGAAGGTGAGAAGGAGGAGGAACCAACTGCACCCTATGGAGCCCGATGTGTTGGGTTGTATTCTGTGTGCAGGATACAGGTTCTCTTTACATACATACTGAAGTTATATTCCTTGTCCCACCTTGTTGTCTGATAGGCTCTGTTCACACCAGTGTGTGTTTCAGTGCTTTTCCTATGGAACACATTCACCTCTATGCTTTTTTGAGCCGCAATGTTTTTGGAAAGAATCGGGGACTTTTTTAAAGCAGCGTTCCACCCAAAAGGATTGGCACCTTTGAGGAGCGGGGGGGGAGAGAACGGGTACCCGAATTTGACAGATTCCCACTTCCGCTGAGATCGCCTAGGCGATCAGAAACGGAAGTTGTTGTCCTCCTGCCCTCCCTCCCCGAAGTCTTGTAGGACACGTGACAGGTCCCAGAAGACAACGGGGCCATTCATGAAGCGCAGCGCTACTCGTGCATGTGCAGTGAGCCGCAAGCTGTCACAGCCAGGTGCCCACACTGAGGATGCCGGCATCTGGAATACAGGATAGCCGCTGAACCGGACTGCGGTGGGGGCACTGCAGGATCTAAGGACAGGGTGGCTGTTTTTTTAAAAAATCAGCAGCTGCAGTTGTTGTAGCTGCTGACTTATTTTTTTGCAGAGTGAGTGGAACTCCGCTTTAAAAGCAAAAAGCAGCGTTTTTGCTACAATAGAGTTCAATGGAGAAGCTGCTGAAATGCATGGTAGTGCATTTTTGCTGCGCTTTGCTTTTTGTACTTTTATTTTGTCTGCAAATTCTGTCCACAAAAAAAAATTCCAAATAAAAAAAAGAGCTGAACAAAACATGTCCAAAACATGTCAAAAACGTGTGTAGAAAAAAGCAAAAAACAAACCACGAAAAGCACTGCAAACCAGACAAAAAGCAAACTTCATAGGTGTGTCTAAGTAAGAAAACTCAAGGTCTTGCTTTGGAGGAGAATTTGCACATCCATGATCATGGGTGGGCTGAGCACATTATATACACCATTGATCTACTAAAACGAACGCAAAAAATCTGGTGCAGCTCTGCATAGAACCCAATCAGCTTAGTTAGAAGCTTATAGGCCCCTGTGCACAGCTGCCCCAGATTCTGCACTCTCCAGCTTTGGTAAAACAACTCCATTGTGTAGTCTGGGAGGTGGAACAATGTGTCTGCTGACATATGTCCCCCATGTGATAAGATTCCAGGAACATAGAGCAGAGAAGAATTCCAGCCGGTAACACACATCATGTTTGGGTATATATAATAGACGGAAGCACCAAAATCCTGCCCTTGAACTTGCTCAACAACTTTACACATCATGTCAATTGGGATGTGCAGTATATAATCACACCTTGCAGTGCCAAGAAAATCTCGCCCACACCATGGCACCACCACCACCAGCCCAAACCATTGATACAAGGCAGGATGGATCCCCCCACACCATGACACCACCAGCCTGAACTGTTGATACAAGGCAGGATGGATCCCCCACACCATGACACCACCACCAGCCTGAACCATTGATACAAGGCAGGATGGATCCCCCACACCATGACACCACCACCACCAGTCTGAACCGTTGATACAAGGCAGGATGGATCCACCACACCATGACACCACCACCACCAGCCTGAACCATTGATACAAGGCAGGATGGATCCCCCACACCATGACACCACCACCACAAGCCTGAACCATTGATACTAGGCAGGATGGATCCCCCACACCATGACACCACCACCACAAGCCTGAACCATTGATACAAGGCAGGATGGATCCCCCCACACCATGGTACCCCCACCACCAGCCTGTACTGTTGATACAAGGCAGGATGGATCCCCAATACCATGACACCACTACCACCAGCCTGAACAGTTAATACAAGGCAGGATGGATCTCGCACACCATGACACCACCACCACCAGCCTGAACCGTTGATACAAGGCAGGATGGATCCCCCACACCAAGACACCCAACACCACCAGCCTGAACCATTGATACAAGGCAGGATGGATCCCCCACACCATGACACCACCACCACCAGCCTGTACTGTTGATACAAGGCAGGATGGATCCCCCACACCGTGACACCACCACCACCACCAGCCTGAACCATTGATACAAGGCAGGATGGATCCCCCACACCATGACACCCAACACCACCAGCCTGAACCATTGATACAAGGCAGATGGATCCACCACACCATGACACCACCAGCCTGAACCATTGATACAAGGCAGGATGGATCTCCCACACCATGACACCACCACCACCAGCCGGAACCATTCATACAAGGCAGGATGCATCCCCCACACCATGACACCACCAGCCAGAACCATTGATACAAGGCAGGATGGATCCATGCTTTCCTGTTGTTTACGCCAAATTCTGACCCTATCATCTGAATGTCGCAGCAACCAGTCTGCCCCTTCTCTGACCTCTGACATCAACAAGGCATTTCCTCCACACAACTGCCGCTCACTGGATATTTTCTCTTTTTCGGACCCTTTTCTGTAAACCCTAGAGATGGTCATGAGTGAAAATCCCAGAAGATCAACAGTTTTTGAAATACTCAGATTAGCCCGTCTGGCACCAACAAGTATGCCATATTCAAAGTCACTTAAATCCCCTTTCTTCCTCATTCTGATGCTCAGTTTTAACTTCAACAAGTCTTCTTGATCATGTCTAGATGCCTAAATATATTGAGTTTCTGCCATGTGATTGGCTTATTATCAATTTGTGTTAGCAAGCAATTGAACAATGTGCAAAAATATTTTTATATAAAACTTTTCCTTTTTCATTACATTCTGCCTCCTGTCAAGAGCCCTCAGTCCTGATGCAAGCAGAGGGCTGGCTCTTGGGAGGAGTTATGCAAATATCAAAATGTCTTTGGTGTCAGCCTGGAGGAGTGGGCATTCCTAGGCAGACTTAATTTGCATACAGTCACCCCCAGGTAATGCCCACATGTAATTCTGAGCCTCCATTACTGAAAGAACTTAAAGCCTGGTGAGCCAGGGGCGGGTCAGGCTGGGGAGAATAGGGCTGGAGGATGCTGGACAACCCTCCCGCCAGGAATGAGGCAAAGCTCTTTCTGACTTGCTGCAGCTTCTAATGCACATTGTGAGAAGCTGAAAGTGTGCAGTGACATCAGAGGAAGCCATTTCAGTCCAGGGGAGGAGCCGGTACACCTGTGCAAGACTGAAGGGGAGGAGCCGGTACACCTGTGCAAGACTGAAGGGGAGGAGTCGGTACACCTGTACAAGACTGAAGGGGAGGAGTCGGTACACCTGTACAAGACTGAAGGGGAGGAGTCGGTACGCCTGTACAAGACTGAAGGGGAGAAGCCGGTATACCTGTGTAAGCCTGAAGGGGAGGAGCTGGTATAACTGTGTAAGACTGGAGGGGAGGAGTTGGTACACGTGTGCAAGACTGGAGGGGAGGAGCCGGTATAATTGTGCAAGATTGAAGGGGAGGAGCTGGTACACCTGTGCTAGATTGAAGGGGAGGGGCCAGTATAACTGTGCAAGACTGAAGGGGAGGAGCTAGTAACCTGTGCAAGACTGGAGGGAAGGAGCTGGTATAACTGTGCAAGACTGAAGGGGAGGTGCCGGTACACCTGTACAAGACTGAAGGGGAGGAACCAGTACACCTGTACAAGACTGAAGGGGAGGAGCCAGTATAACGGTGCAAAACTGAAGGGTAGGGGCCAGTACAACTGTGCAAGACTGAAGGGGAGGAGCCGGTACACCTGTGCAAAACTGAAGGGGAGGAGCCGGTACATCTGTGCAAGACTGAAGGGGAGGAGCCGGTACACCTGTGCAAGACTGAAGGGGAGGAGCCGGTACACCTGTGCAAGACTGAAGGGGAGGATCCGGTACACCTGTGTAAGACTGAAGGGGAGGAGCCGGTACACCTGTGCAAGACTGAAGGGGAGGAGCCAGTGCACCTGTACAAGACTGATGTGATGGCCGGAGGTCAGATTTTAAGCAGGTTAGGAGGTCCGCTTCAGGTCAAATTCTGCTGTGGATGATGGAACTTAGAAACTTCCCAACATAATCTCAGATGCAATCTGAATGTACCTGACAGCACCTTCCATTTACCTACTACACTAGTATATATTATGACTTTAGCACAGCTGCAGTATTTGCTGGATGACAATGTCAGCTTGCTGAATACTTTTACTTCTTCTCTGGAATTGCTGTTTAGCTTTCTAGAAATCTTTGCATTGATCAGTAGTAGAGTGATAGGAGTCATTATTCTCCAACAGCCGCATCTCATGGACACTCACCAGCTGAAGTATGGTCAAGTATCTCTTCCACCACAAGTACTTCTGCACGGAGGGCCCCAGGACCGCCAGAGCGTAGTACAGGTACATGAAGATGTGGACAAAAGAGTTCAGCATGCCGATGAAAAATGCTGCAAAACACAAGTGGAGAAATGATGGTTTAAGATAGACGACCCAATAGGTGATGCCAAAACAAAGATGGTTCTGTCCTTCAGGAGAGAAAAGCAGATGAAAGCACTGCCAGGGGAGTCCTTGTTTTAGTTTTACTTCAACCCTACGTTCACCCTAATTAATTTTCAATAAAAGTAATAATTATATATATATAAAATATATGCGGGGATTTCTTTACACTTCCTGGCCCATAGCCAAAACAGGAAGTGAGAGAAATCCCTTCAAAGTAAGGGAACCCCTGGTTGTCACCAGAAAAAAGTGTCCTCATTGAAAGATTTCCCCTCTATTCTTGTTCTGGTGACAACCAAAAATGTAGGATTTCTTTTACTTTTAAGGTTAACGGTAAACAGGACAAGTAGAGAGAGGGAATCTCCCTAATGGGGGTACAGACAGTAATGACAGCCTGACAGGGGATCTAATCCCTCTCCACTCTATTCAAAACTGAAAAAAATGGTTTTAAATTATACTTTCATTTATTTGCAAAGAACTGTTTTTTTTTAATTACTATTTAAAAACAAATACATTGTATTAACTTTTAAATAACTATTTTTTTTTAACACGGACTAAAGCATAAATACATTATTTTGTGATATTTTTTTTTCAATGAACAGCATAAAATAATACAATAATTTTGCAAGACTATAATCACAGAAAGAAAGCCTTGTTTGTCCTACCCCCCCCCCCCCAAAAAAAAAAACCTCAATGAGCACATATTATAAAAGTAAATATGATTCTGGTCTGTAAGAGACTGTAAAGGAATGTGAGCTGAAATAGTTAAAACAACAAAGAATTAATAGAAAAAAAAATCCCTCACAAACTCCTGACACAGCCAAACACATGGCCGATGCTGTGCTGGGGCCTCATTACACATGGATAGAACAACACTGCACGTCCTTGTTCCCTCACGGAGCTGGAGGAGTGAAGAGCACAGCATGGATCGCTAATCAAACTATACTCACCCTGTCCTCCGGCCACGTATTTGACCCCGGCCCACCAGTTGAAGATCATGGTGGCATGGTGATAGACATGGAGGAAGGAGATCTGATTGAACTTCTTCCTCATGATGAAAAAGATCTACAGAAGATGAACATGTACATGAATCAAACATCCCCATCATATACATGAATCAAACATCTCCGTCATCATATCCATGAATCAAACATCCCCATCATATACATGAATCAAACATCCCCGTCATATCCATGAATCAAACATCTCCGTCATATACATGAATCAAACATCTCCATCATATCCATGAATCAAACATCCCCGTCATATACATGAATCAAACATCTCCATCATATCCATGAATCAAACATCTCCATCATATACATGAATCAAACATCTCCATCATATACATGAATCAAACATCTCCCATCATATACATGAATCAAACATCTCCATCATATACATGAATCAAACATCTCCATCATATACATGAATCAAACATCTCCGTCATATAAATGAATCAAACATCTCCGTCATATCCATGAATCAAACATCTCCGTCATATAAATGAATCAAACATCTCCATCATATCCATGAATCAAACATCTCCATCATATACATGAATCATGAATCAAACATCTCCGTCATATACATGAATCAAACATCTCCATCATATCATGAATCAAACATCTCCGTCATATACCATGAATCAAACATCTCCGTCATATACATGAATCAAAATCTCCGTCAGATACATGAATCAAACATCATATACATGAATCAAACATCTCATCATATACATGAATCAAACATCTCCATCATATACATGAATCAAACATCTCCCGTCATATACATGAATCAAACATCTCTCCGTCATATACATGAATCAAACATCTCCGTCATATACATGAATCAAACATCTCCATATCATATACATGAATCAAACATCTCCATCATATACATGAATCAAACATCTCCATCATATACATGAATCAAACATCTCCATCATATACATGAATCAAACATCTCCGTCATATACATGAATCAAACATCTCCATCATATACATGAATCAAACATCTCCATCATATACATGAATCAAACAAACATCTCCATCATATACATGAATCAAACATCTCCGTCATATCCATAATCATGACATCAAACATCCCGTCATATCATATCATGACATCAAATCAAACATCTCCGTCCGTCATATATAAACATCTCCGTCATATACATGAATCAAACATCTCGTCATATATACATGAATCAAACATCTCCCGTCATATACATGAATCAATCCCGTCATATACATGAACATCATCAAACATCTCCGTCATATACATGAATCAAACAAATCTACATGAATCAAAAACATCACCGTCATATACATGAATCAAACATCCGTCATATACATGAATCAAACATCTCCGTCATATACATGAATCAAACATCTCCGTCATATACATGAATCAAACATCTCCGTCATATACATGAATCAAACATCATCCGTACATAAACATATACATGAATCAAACATCTCCATCATATACATGAATCAAACATCACCGTCATATACATGAATCAAACATCTCCGTCATATACATGAATCAAACATCTCCATCATATACATGAATCAAACATCTCCGTCATATACATGAATCAAACATCTCCATCATATACATGAATCAAACATCTCCATCATATCATGAATCAAACATCTCCATCATATACATGAATCAAACAAACATCTCCGTCATATACATGAATCAAACATCTCCATCATATACATGAATCAAACATCTCCATCATATACATGAATCAAACATCTCCATCATACATAATCAAACATCTCCGTCATATCATGAATCAACATCTCCGTCATATACATCATATACATGAATCAAACATCTCCATCATATATACATGAATCAAACATCTCCATCATATACATGAATCAAACATCTCCATCATATACATGAATCAAACATCTCCATATACATGAATCAAACATCTCCGTCATATACATGAATCAAAAACATCTCCGTCATATACATGAATCAAACATCTCCGTCATATACATGAATCAAACATCTCCGTCATATACATGAATCAAACATCTCCGTCATATACATGAATCAAACATCTCCGTCATATATACATGAATCAAACATCTCCATGAATCAAACATATCCGTCATATGAATCAAACATCTCCATCATATACATGAATCAAACATCTCCATCATATACATGAATCAAACATCTCCGTCATATACATGAATCAAACATCATATACATGAATCAAACATCTCCATCATATACATGAATCAAACATCTCCGTCATATACATGAATCAAACATCTCCGTCATATACTCATGAATCAAACATCTCCATCATATATACATGAATCAAACATCTCCATCATATACATGAATCAAACATCTCCATCATATACATGAATCAAACATCTCCATCATGAATCAAACATGAATCAAACATCTCCATCATATACATGAATCAAACATCTCCATCATATACATGAATCAAACATCTCCATCATATACATGAATCAAACATCTCCATCATATACATGAATCAAACATCTCCCGTCATATACATGAATCAAACATCTCCATCATATACATGAATCAAACATCTCCATCATCATATGAATCAAACATCTCCATCATGAATCAAACATCTCCATCATATACATGAATCAAACATCTCCATCATATACATGAATCAAACATCTCCGAATCATATACATGAATCAAACATCTCCGTCATATCATGAATCAAACAAACATGTCCGTCATATCATAATGTAATAAAACTGCCATTCATGGTTGGGACAGAGGGCTCATTCACAAAGCTCAGGCAGCAGCTATTGTTCTCCAAGTCCCAGCATGCTTCCTATCAGGCACAGTGTGCGGGAGAAGTCCGACTCTTGTACTTTTGAACTCTTTGTACAAGGCTTACACAAGTGAACAGTCAGCTGTTTTCTGTCTTACGTAAACCACACAATGAAATGTAAGATAGAAACAGACACACTGTAAACCTCAAACCTCGTGCTGGCTACAGACAGATACTGTAAATATCCGATTATCTGCTGTACCCACTTGGCAATGCGATTGGGGGGAGGGGAATGGGGAGTTTCCCCCCTTACCCCATTCTCATCCACCCCATTCCCAACCCGCTTCCACTTTCTTCCTTCCCTCAGTCCCCCCCAATACCAACCCCCCTTTCTTTTCTTGTCTTTCTCTTGACATTTGCATGTTCCGACTGGATGGCCTCGTTTACTCCTTCTGGTAGTGATCCTGCCTGGCATTCCATACTTTACCCAACTCATTCCCTATAGAACCAGGACTTTAGCTCAATACACACCACTCATGGTTTCTCTTCTGTTTGCATACCTTGGTAACCAAGTTAAAACATTTTTTGGGGGAATTATATCTATAGCTTATACTTTATGATCTTCTTTTACATGTATGGAGCAAACTTATGTGTACACATGTTGCTGCTTACAGTATTTGTTCCACCGACTTGTGAACTCCATTCACTTTCTTTTTTTGTCCCATTGTAAAGATTTACTTGGCCCTCCAGCCTCTCTTTAGCCATTCTTTATCCAATAAAGTATTTGTGGAATTAAATATCCGATCAGTAAGGATAAGCTAAGGTTGGCTCAAACCCGTGGGGCACTATCACAGGACAGTAGGCTGCTGCCTCAATTAGCTGCACCCATGGAACTCCCTGCCCAGTAGCCACACATCCAAAGAACAAAAGGTATACCGCTCAGGCAAACAATCCAGATCCATCCACAACAGGCGCAGGCTCTGGCTCGCCACCACACGCAATGCATATGGGAAGAATTGTCAGGCGCACACCGGAGGATAGATGAATATAATGTATATTTATTGTTCCATAGGACACACGAAACACCAGGACATGAATACAGGACATGTTAACGCGTTTCACACAATCTCGTGCTTAATCATAATTCCCTGCCCAGTAGCCACGCATAACAAAGGAACTGGAAGACTGGTGACCTAATATGGCCACATGGTTCTATTTGGATGACGTCTTCAACCAAAAAAGGCCATGTGGCTATATTAGGCCAATGATATCACCAGCATCCCCTCCCTTTTTCATGGCAGGGAATTCCACTGATGCAACCGATTGGAGCCTACTTTCAAGTGACCATTTCCCACCAGTTTGGGAACTCAGTTCGGCCTGGACCTTAGCTCATCATTAATTATAAGAACTGATAGCTAGAAGGTTTTTTTAGATTATGGGAAGATGAGGGGGGGGGGGGGGGGGGGAGGGGTAAGAGACAGGAAGCCAACTCTGGCAGTTTACTCAGTGCACCGTGGTAAATAGAAAAGGTTCATAGTGGCATACCAGTGCTTCCCCCATCCTCTGGAACTCTCTACCCCAATTTAGAAGACTATCACCTACTCTGCTCACTTCTAGGCGATCTCTGAAAACCTATATCCCCACAGTTACTACCTTTTGTACCACTAGCCCCTCCCTCCTAGATTGTAAGCTCCAAGGAGCAGGGCCCTCCTATCCCTCTTGTATTGAACTGTATTGTCTCCCTTTATATTGTAAAGCGCTGAGCAAACAGTTGGCGCCATAAATCCTGTATAATAATAATACCACATGTGCCATAATGAATTATGGGTATAATAGTGGTGCACCTAGTGTGCTGTAGCCCATTATAGTTGTCAATAGTGGTTCACATAGTGTGCTGCTGCAAACTGTAAGGATAGTATTGCATGCTCGGTGGCAAATTATTCAGTTGTTAGCGGAGTGGTTTGATAGTGACAAGTCTGCAGGTGGTTCAATTATAGTGTCAGGGCCTTTTACATAACAAACACACTTACACTTCATTAAAAAATAAATTAGTAGCATTTACAATACATGGACTACATATGGACAATTATGACAATACAAGGCAAAAAACAAGCAATCATTACAATACCGAGTAGCCAACAATCAATTGTTACAATTCAAGTCCGCACTGGCCACAGGTATCAACTTTCACCTGGATTGAAAGGGAGGAGAAATCCAAGTTTTGAGTTGTCACCAAAATAGGAAATATAATTCTTCCATTAGGGACACTGGTTCTGGGGAAAACTATCAGATGGAATTTTTCTCACCTTCTGTTTTGCCTTCAGGACAAGAAGTAAAGGGAGATTTCCCCAATGGGACACAGGTGTCGAACAAGCTGACAGGGGTTTTCTATCCATAATGATTTTGTATATACACTATATTCAGTATTATCTCCCAGAGGGTCAATAGACTCTAGATACCCTCAGACTGCACAGCCTTTGGATATACTCCACACAAACATTAAAAACTTTACTAAACTCTCAAGGTGTGTTCTTAAAGCCCAACTCCGGTCAAACAAAAATGTTCCCATGCAATGGGGTGAGCCTGCACTGCACAGGTCAACTGCTTGTTTTTTTCTAGGGGATTAGAGAAAGCTTATACTCACCCAATTCCCACATGCAAAAGGTGTTTCTCCCAAAATCCAACAGTGCACTGTTCTTGATGTCCTCACGTCTTGAGCTGGTCTATGACTGTGATGACGTCAGGAACAGTCCACCACACAAAACCGCTAGACTCGGGGGGAAAGGGGGGGGGGGGGGGTCAGGAGCCACAGGGACTAGTCTTGTGTGGGGAGGATCTGAGGATTAGGTGGGCATCTCTCTATTCTCCTATCTGTTAGAAAAAAAAACAAGCAGCTTTTTTGCCTGGAGTTGGGCTTTAAATAACCAAATCTATGCTGTTGTTTACAGGCTCCATATCTTGGGCTGGTCCTATAAAAAGCTAAGACTTTATATATACACTTTAACAGATGATATAGTTTCCTAGAGGAATTCTCCTGTAAAGACTCTCACCAAGTCTCTTAGACAACATATCCCTTCCAAAACCCTAAGAGAGGAAAGTTGCTAAATAAATAAATCCATAAGGGGATGACATCTAATCTTCCAAGAAAAAACTCAACAGCCTTTGATGCCCTTCTGTAGAGAACCCAGAACCTGTTGTAGTAAGAGACATGTCATTTGATGGTTGCAGAAATTATCTAGAGACCTTAAAATAAATCCTCCCTTCGTCCACAGCTGGATGTAAAACATTAAAGAGTAGACTGTCCTCTTGATATACTCACTGTGTCTAGGAGCTCAATGACCTTGGAGAAGAAGAACCACCAGCATACTCTGGCCATCTATAGGGGAAAAAAGGAGAAGACATCAGAGGAGACAGGAGGTCACCCTAACCCTTTATAGGAGATTCCTTTGGGACCATCAGAATACCAGCACCATTTTCTGTGTGTACTGTATATAGTCCTTAACTGTAAAAAATGTCATGGAAAACCAGTCAACCGACAGTTCCGACAGTTCTTCTATATACTTCTTCTCACAACACAATTCTGAATACAGATACATGAGAGATAATGGGGAAACTCTTTGGTTTGGGATGTATCTACTCTTGGTTTATGTAAGTAATTTCTGGTTGCGTTGCTATCCATCATCTCACCTGATGCACACCATGGTCAGAATTCCTAGAATGCCTCACTTACCCGCAGGCCCAGCTCACTATTACTGTAGTCCACCGGTTGGCAGAAGTAGCTGTACCCAGCCAACACCGACGTCACCAGAAACTGGAGACAAGACAAAGAGAACAAACCATTACAAATATGCAAGATAAACATACTCAGGGGAAGATATTTGAAAGCACACAATTGACTTCCTTCCAGTAACCCTACCAATAAACATCAACGACAACCTGATTTAAAAGGCAAACTCATCACACAGGCAAAGAACAAGGTGCAAAGTTCCAGATAAACCAACCAGAATTCATTTTTCACCAATCTGATTTCTCTAAACTGGCATCTGATTGGCTGATAGGATTAGCTGCACTGTGCACCTTGGGATTCCTAATTAAATTAGATAAATAGTTGCAAGGAATACAACCAAAAATACAGGAGAAATGTACAAGGAGCCAACCAAAAATTCCAAACAATACAGGACATCAAATGAGCTTTCACAATTATCTTCCTGCATACTGGAAATTAATTGAGAGAGATGTCTGGTGTCTATGGGTGGCCTTACCTCATAAAACATATAGATAGACAGGCCCACTAGGGAAAGGTTATAGACTAGCAGAACTAGGCGCAGGGTGAAGGGCTCACGCCCTTCCATCAATCGGGGCCCCAGGGCCACAAGCAGAAGGTAGACAGCAAACATGAGGATAATGGGGACCGGTGAATAAACCAGGAGCCAGGGGTCCGTCCGACTGTCTGAAAAACATAAAAAGGGTTGTCATCACTCAACTGGGGGAGTCCAGCCATTGCCATCAATAATCTTTGTAATGTACAGCGCTGAGCGAACTATTGGCGCTTTATAAATACTGTATAATAATAACCAATCAGCAGCAGTATTTTAGGCAAGGCATCTTAGTTGTAACCTCGTGTCCAAGGACTTCACTCACAGGTCCCATGCTATGTCCACCTCAACCTTCAGGATCTGTAAACTCCTCACTTCTATAAACCAGATAATACCTGAAGCTGTGCACTGCAAATCTATTCAGTCCAAAGAAACTATTTGTCCAGCAGCAATTGAGTACACTCCACCATGGCCTACTTTGGGGTGGTTCTTCCCCTGCTGGTGCCTAAACGTAGAGCCATAATATTCTATGATTAGATTTTCTGTGTGTGGCGTCATGTTTTTTGAATGTATCTTAGTTATTATTGCAATGTTGTAGAGTGGGAGGGGTCACAGTCCCCATTTTCACTCACAGAAGGGGAGGGGGTGCAGCTGTCCCCAGTGTCGGCCCACAGTGAGGTTGGAGCAGTTGTCATCGGTGTCCCCCTGCAGCAGGGAAGGACAATTGTTACCGGTGTATCCCCATAGGGGGTCAAATGTCCCAATACAATTCAATACAGGAGGAATCAGAGGGCCCTGCTCATTAGAGTTTATGATGATGCTTGTCTAGTAGTCAGTAGAGTCTACAATCACTCATTTCATCCTGCAGTGGGGGAGAACAGCTGTCCCCAGTGGCACCCCAAAGTTGGGGGGGGTCAAATTTGTCTCTGATGTCATCCCACTCTCCTCAGTGTCACCCTACAGTGATGGGGGAGAAGGACAGATGTCCCCAGTGTCACCCCAAAGTTGGGGGGGGTCAAATTTGTCTCTGATGTCATCCCACTCTCCTCAGTGTCACCCTACAGTGGATGGGGGAGAAGGACAGATGTCCCCAGTGTCACCCCAAAGTTGGGGGGGGTGAAATTTGTCTCTGATGTTATCCCACTTTCCTCAGTGTCACCCTACAGTAGATGGGGGAGAAGGACAGATGTTCCCAGTGTCACCTCAAAGTTGGGGGGGTGAAATTTGTCTCTGATGTCATCCCACTCTCCTCAGTGTCACCCTACAGTGGATGGGGGAGAAGAACAGATGTCCCCAGTCTCGCCCCTAGGAGGGGTGGAACAGATGTAATCAGTGTTACCTTGCAGCAGGGAAGAACAACTGTCCCTGATGTCACCCCCATGGGGAGGGGAAATGTCCCTGGTATCACCCCTGCAATTGTAATCATCATGGCCACAGATCGTACTTCCTGACTGGTTGTGTTAACCCCCCCCACCTTACAGCTTAAAGATCACTTATGCTTCTCTGTCAGTCAGTGGGGTCCATAACCCTGATGGCATCCTGCAGTAGGGGTGGCCAGCGGTCCCCAGTGTCACCCACAGTTGGGGTGGCATTCATCCCTGGTGTTAACCTAAAGTAGGAGAGGCTGCTGTCTCCAGTGTCACCCCATATTTGCAGAAGGACAGCTGGCTCCAAAGTCACCCCACAGTGGAAGAGGCGATTTTCCTTTGTGTCACTCCACAGGATCATAATCCACACTTGGTATGTCAGATCCATCGTCACCACATCCAAAAATAACAATATAATCATATGTATCTTACCTCCATTCTCCAGAGCCCACACATAGAAGTCCTTCACGGCCTCCCAGGTAGACGCCATACCTGCAAATGACAGATATACAAGATTGTGAGCCTTCATGATGGACCAAAGCTCCTTCAAAATTTTGTTTTATTTTTGGATGGACTAAGGGTTTTATTGACTTCTTTAGGATGTTATTGTCATCTGTGTCCTCTTGTGACCAAGTGACGGAAGTAAGGAAAATATCTGCAAAAGAACCATAGAGAGCCGAAAAAGCCAAATGAAGGACCCGAGCTTCACCCTTCTCCATGCCATCCAAAACCAAACTAAAAGTTTTGGCTGGAGCCAACAACAAATTTCTTCACTTTCCTTTGTGTCATTCTGCAAGGCCTGTTTAGCTTTTCTTACTAATTAGCTATTATATCTGTTACAATGTCTGCAGATATAAAGCAAAGCATGGTCAACCTACAGAGATCTACCAGCAACAATGTTACCAAATGGCTAAGTCTGATTTCTTACTACCCGGATCAGGGCACTAAACCCCGATACACTCATTATTATGGACTGGTCCCATGTATGCTAGATGATTTATAGTATCTGCACATAATCTCAAAGTCAATTCACAAAGATTATCAGGTGGGACTATGCTCTTAACCCTTTGAGGGCCATAAGATTACGGAACGCCAAAAGAATCAATTTTTTGTTTTTAAAGTTCGTACACTTCAGTTGCTGTAACTAAGCCATTTCATGAAATAATTGGCAAAAAGCTAGATCCATTTGTTGATAAGAACTAATATTTTGACTCAAACCAAAAAAAAAAAAAAAAAAAAGTATTTTCAAGTTCTTAATCAGATGATACAGGCAATTAAAAACATGGGACAAATACGTCCCTTGGTCCTCAAAGGGTTAAATATATCACCAGCTTCAAGCGAGTTAGAACAGCAAGTGCACATGAGAGGGGAAAATGGAGGGAAGCAAGAAATTGAGTCACAACAGTCTGTGATATAATCATTTTTAAAGTATCTAAAGCAAAAATTGTTAATGTATGCATATATTTAAATTGAAATGGTGAGGGGTTAGAACCCCTGTCAGTTTTCCACTGGGGAGATTTCCCCCCATTTCCTGTCCCAAAGGCACAGCAGGAAGTGAGACGATGTCACACTCACATCACATGTGCCCCCCCCCCACCTGTACATATAGTCACACCTCTATACCCCTCCTGTACATATACACGGCTCAAAAAAATTAAAGGAATACATTTTAATAAAAGTATAGCATCGAGTCAGTTAAACTCCTGGGATATTGATCTGGTCAGGTAAGTAGCAGAGGGGGTTGTTCATCAGTTTCGGCTGCTTTTGTGTTAATGAAATTAATAACAGGTGCACTAGATGAGCAACAATGAGATGACCCCCAAAACAGGAATGGTTTTACATAGTTAGTCTGGCTGAAAAAAGATAAAAGTCCACCCAGTTCAACCATTAAAAAAGAAAGTTATAATCCTACACCCAAAGCTGATCCAGAGGAAGGCAAAAAAACAAACATCAAAGCACGATCCAATATTCCCTGCAGGGAAAAAAATTCCTTCCTGATCCCCCGAGAGGCAATCGGATATTCCATGGATCAACTTTCCCTATAAATGTTATATCCAGTTATATTCTGTGTATCCAAGAAAGAATCCAGGACTTTCCTACAGCAATCCACTGAGCTGGCCACAACCAACTCTTGAGGGAGCCTATTCCACATTCTCACAGCTCTTAATGTGAAGAAACCTTTCCGTGTTTGGAGATTACATTTAATTTCCACCAGATGTAAAGAGCGCCCCCTTGTGTTCTGTGATGGCCTCAGGGTGAAGAGCTCTACACTGAGTTCACTATATGCGACCTTACAGGTGGAGGCCTCTGACGTTTTCTTCCCTACTCATCATTTCTGACTGTTTTTCACTAGTTTTGCATTTGGCTAGGGTCAGTGTCACTACTGGTAGCATGAGGCCATACCTGGACCCTACAGAGGTTCCACAGGCAGTCCAACTCCTCCAGGGTGACACATCAATACCTGCCATTGCCAGAAGGTTTGCTGTGTCTCCCAGCACAGTCTCAAGAGCATGGAGGAGATTCCAGGAGACAGGCAGTTACTCTAGGAGAGCTGGACAGGGCCGTAGAAGGTCCTTAACCCATCAGCAGGACCGGTATCTGCTCCTTTGTGCAAGGAGGAACAGGATGAGCACTGCCAGAGCCCTACAAAATGACCTCCAGCAGGCCACTGGTGGGAATGTCTCTGACCAAACAATCAGAAACAGACTTCATGAGGGTGACCTGGGGCAGCAGCTCTCCCAGATCTCTGTCTCACACAGCATCAGAAGCCATTGGCTCCTGCTGCTGTCAATCACAGCCAGTGAGCCAATGAGGAGAGAGTGGGGGCGGGGTTGGACTGTGCTCTGTGTGTGAATGGACAATGACCATTCACAGGAGTGTGGCTCGAGAGGGAACCTGCTCAAGTGCCCCCATAGTAAGAAACTTGCTATTGGGAGCACTTGACGGGGCGGGAAAGAGCCAGGATCGCTGGCGGGGGACTTAAAAAGAAGAAGATCGGGGCTGCTCTATGTAAAACCATTACACAGAGCAGGTAAGTATAAACATGTTTGTTATGTAAAAAAAAAAGAAAATACAACCTTTAGGCTGAGTTCACATATGTCGCATGTGATTCGCACAGAAACCGCACCGCATTCCTGTGCGAATCGCATGCGATTTGTGTGCAGTGCGATCGGATTCGTACATTTTGTATGGCTCTAATCGCACCGAATCCGCACCAAAAAAGTGCAGGACCCTTTTTTAGTCCGCACTAGAATCGGATCACATGGGTATTCACACCTGTGTGACCCGATTCTGCACATCGCACCGCATTTTGCTGACTGCTTTCGGGCTGTTGTGAACTAAACATACACATCTGCATCGATTCGCATGAACGGGGTGCGATTATGATGCAGTGCGGAATTCGAACAGGAAACACTGCAAATTCCGCACCCCATCAGTGTGAACCCGGGCTCAGAAACATCTCTTTAATACTTAGTGAGTTAGTAGTAAAGCCGGCCATACACTAGCAGATGTTTTAAACCAACCTTTGCATGAATATTGGTATGAAAATCCTCATCGGTGCTGTCAGTGACTTGCCGAAAGTCGTTTGTCTTTAATATTCGATTTTAGTGTGAATGATCCCCCGCAGATTCCATTGTGTCATCATGAATGTGTTAATGTCACTTTGGGGGGGGGGGGGGGGGGGGGGGGGGGGGGGGGGGGGGGGGGGGGGGG